ATAACTTTGGAGACTTTTTCAGTCATTCTGGCTCAGCTGTTGGGTTTCAGCCTGGGGATGGAATACGAGGACAGCAAAGACTGCAAGTGCCCCGGTCACATCTGTGTAATGCACACAAATGCAGTGCAAGTATTGCTATTATTCATTTCTGTCGTTCATAGCTGGAACAGAGATAAGAAGCCCTGTGATGGATATTGCTCAAGGGGCTTCACTGGGCTGTGTGTATGTTGAGACTCGATCACAGGCTGTTCACCTGCCAAGTTCAGATGCTTGGCGGTTAAGGTGGAGGCTGATGGGCATGCATTTAGCGATGTTTTCAATAATCCAAAATGAGAAACTTCCCCCTTTTTATGGATTCTTCAAAGGCGACTAAGCTGGAAAGTGCTCATAATTGTTCCTAAGGGCTCAAAATTAACAACTGTGGCAAGAAAGGTCGTAAAATGGGGCAAAATTCACTTTAACGACTGTCTGGCTTAGCTGCAGAAATGTTGGGGTCAATTGCCGTAAGTTGAGGACTGCCTTTACCTCTACGTGAAATCTTTGTTAGGTTCCCATTTGGTGGTTCTCCTCAAGTAGGAGAAACCTCTGCACATCTGATGATAAAGAAACATAGCAATGGGCCTCACTGGAAGGGAAGTACGTGCTCTTTTTAAGTTTTCTTCTGTGCTCAAAAGTTTGTGACGTGATTGTATAGTCATGACACGTGTATATTGGAAAGAGAGATGGCTAGATGCTAATGTCATACGTATTCTTTTGCCTTTGTTTTTTTCCCCCCCAGTAATTTCAGTGGAATTAAAAAATTCAGCAGCTGCAGTGTTGTGGACTTCCAAAATTTCATTAAGTTCAAAAGCGCCCCTTGCCTTTCTAATCGGCCAAATTTGAAATTGTACTCTCAGAAGAAATTGTCCAAAGGGAAACCGGCTTGTGGGAATGGTGTTTTGGAACCTGGTGAGAAATGCGATTGTGGCAGTGTTGAGGTGGGTATTTGATAACCGTTTTCAGATGTGTTGACTTAAATATGTAGGCTGTCCTCTACCGGGGGCTCCTGATATTTGTCAGAAGGGAGCATAAAATCATTAAGGTAGGATAATTCTCGCCTAGCTAGAGATGCTTTGAAAAAATTCACCATTAAATTTGTGTTCATCCCCTAACTTCTTCCTTCGTGCCGCTCTGCCTGGGAATTTTAAAATTTATTAGCTGCAATCATGACACCACTTGCAGTGAACTGTGCAATGCTCATAGGGTTAAGGAATATGGCTGTATAGTGCCCCCCCCCAAAAAAGAAAGCTGGATTAGGTGTTGACTCCAACATAAACACATTTAATGTCTCATCCTTCGTATCTCCGGAGACCCTTAGTAAAAATTAAATGTTCCTTTCAATACAATCTTTCTGCAGCCCAGATAAATTGAGACAGGCAAGATGAGATCTCCCACATGGTAGAGAACTAGCTAATATTTCAGCCATAATGTTTAATGTTTAATGCTTTTGTTTTCAGCATTGTAAAAGGAGTAAATGTTGTACCAGCAGTTGCACGTTTCAGCGGGGAGCCTTGTGCAGTAATGAATTATGCTGTGAAAATTGCAAGGTAAGGCGTCGTAAGGTATGAAATGTGGGAGATGGGAAGCTGTGGGGTTTAGGCCTGATAGAACTATTGGGTGAATATCAAACAGCTGCTTTCCAGTCTTGAGGACTAGAGGAGAATGGCCAAATATCCACAGACTCAAAAATGTAGGAATAATAGGGCAGGAAATATATGACGTTGTCCTTAAACATCACCTGGAAATTTAAGCTATAAGAAATGAAGCTTCATGTATGTTTATAGATATTATTAGTCCATAAGTCTTAAAGTTGCCAAGTTTGAAGACCCCTGGTCTTAGCTGATGCATCATGATACTAAGTGGGTAAGACCATCTGACTCATGGTGACAAGGCCCATCTTTTTTTTTTTATTAAAAGTTTTATAAAAGTTTTACAATATAAATGCCCCCCTCTCCAAAACCCTCCCTCCCC